GTAGGAGTAATATGGTTGAATAATTTATTGAAAAGTTAATGCAAAAAGAAGCACCATGATGAGATCCGTAGCAATTAACACAAACTGCACTAAAATTAAACTTATATATAGTTTCAAAATTTTCGTTTCTTTTTTAGTATTAATAAGGAATCCTATATATAAGTATGTGCTTTCTATCAGGAAAAATCAAATCCTTTATCTGAGAAAAAAATGAGTGTTTCTAAGTTACTTCTTCTTATAGAAAGAAGTATCTCTTTGCTGTCCCAATTCTTATAATTGTCTTTCTCCGGCAACATACTGATTCGATTTAGAGCAAACGATTTTTCTAATGAAGTAGATTAGGATAAGTGTAAAAACGAGCACCGGTACCGCTAGGCAAACGGAAATGACCCATGTTCTTGTTGCATAGCAGCATCTATTTCTGTTATCACCGCAGCAATAATAGTAATAAGTTAATGAATTCTCTGCAAAAAAATAAAAAAAAAAGTTACATGATTTTTACGCAAAATTTTGACTAAGCGATAATCAAAATTACGTACGTTGACAATATAGCACAGTTTGACATTAAACAATAGTGAAGTTGGAACTGCTTGGAAGACTTATGAGACATATTTTATTTAAGAATTTGTAGTATCTCCCACAACAAATTCTGATATGATGAAGAATTGATATTGTATTCGATAATAGTTTATGAATTAGCAAAAAAATCTATCTGCTTAAATGCAATTTGTGTATTTTGTTATTGAAACACAAACATATAGGAATCCTCATGGATATATCATCAGTAAACGGTCATAATTCTACTATACTTATACTAATGCAAGTAAAGTGTGAAATGTTGGATTCTTCTTCTTCATTTTAAAGAAAAAGCAAATTTTTAGATTATGAGTAGAAAAGTAGTAAAATCATTACCTGGACACATTGTCCCGAGAAGTTTCGGTGGACACCACAAAAAATGCAAATATTTGTGAACATCATCATCCTGAATTTATGGACTTATATGAAAAAGTTCATTAAAATATACTGTATCAAAAGATTTTTAGGAGCTAAGCTATGATATTAAGAACAAAAAGAAAAAAATACAGTTGACTCCTGATCAATTTATTTGCTTTTGAAAATCAAATTATCTTATGACCCTCTAAATAACTCCTTCCTGATAATCTAAGGAAGTGAAATATGCAAAGGAACAAACTACAATTCCATATAAACCAATTTTGTGTTTCAATAATAATGTTATGTAAACTAAGCAATTTTTGGGAAATAACTGTGTAACTTGAAAATTAGTATTGTCTTTCGAATACCTTTGTAATAATTTCCTGCAGATC